ACTTAGTAAAAATTTAGCGAAACTAAAGGTTTAACCATTTTGCTAAATCCAAAATGAGTTTAGACAAGCAACCTTATCTACAATATTTTCTAGAAGATGTTATCTTTTAAATGGTTAATATAAAATTATTCATTAAATATTATAAAATAATTAAGATATTTTGATATCTAATAATCATAAAAGAATGAAATTTAACTTATTAAATTCATCTAATTATAATGTATTTAATAAAGCTATAATTATATTTTTAATCAAAATTATATTACAGTAAAACCTTCATAAGTGTCACATACTTAATGTTAGCTATTACATGCACTTATAGAGAATATGCACTTATAGAATAATTAATAGAAAAATAGATTTTATTACACAAATTAAAAACTTTAAATTCATTTATTAAACTTTATTTATTTAACCATATATGTTAATTTGTAGAAATAAAGCGATTCTCTAATGAACTGATTCAAGTTCAGTTTTAGAACATAGTTCATACAGTTCTAATTTTGATTTTGAAACTTTTAAAGAACTAGTCTATCAAATGAATCTGAACTTCTTTAGAATATTTGATTTTATAATTAGATTAAAAGTAATCTAGTTTCAAACCATTTATGTAACTGAACTGATCTGATTCAGTTTATAAGATTAATAATCATGATTTTAGTGCATGTGATTCATATGGTTAGAACTACTAGTTCAATCTAAGTTTTCAGTTGCGGTTTTGACTGTGATTGATATTTTCATTTAAGATTGATTTTTTTTAAAGTTTATTACAATATATGCTTATTTTGATCAGATATAGCTTAACTTATAACTGTTAATCCTAAATACCACATAGAGGTGATAAGTTTTGTTTAGATTTTTTTTAAAAATTCAGAAAAAATTTTACAAAAAATAATGAAATTAAAATAATGTAATGAATAAAAGAAGAAGAGATAATAGTTAGATGAAGATATTATTGTGATGTTTGTATGTTAGGATGTAATAGAGGAGTATCAGTTTATTATATTTTGAAAGAATCAAATCAGTTGGAATTAGCAGGATATTGAGAGCAACATGAAAGGAAGAATGATTAGAAGGATAATTAGAAGTTGATAATTCTAAAAAATATAATATAAATAATTAAGTATATATTAAAACAATATAATCAAATAAATTACTTATCTTGATTTTTTAACAAAACTTGCCTTTTTTTTTCTACATAAGATGCCAAAAGAAAATATAAATATTGAATTTAATAATAGTTTTCTTTTATCAATATCAATTAGAAAATTTATTATATTATCCAGATCCATTTCAAAATTTATTCTTAAATTGCTTACTAAATACTTCTTCTATATGAGTCTATTTTCCATTAGATTTTCCTTCAGTATACTTTTAAAATAACTAAAAAATTAAAATTACTAATTTATATATTTTTTTTTAAATATAATTAATCTTCTTTTTTTATATATATATTTTATTTACTTTACAATTCATAATCATCTTTTTAAACTTGTCTCTAACCTATACACTAGTAAAAGCTGTCTTAAAATTTTCTTCAACGCTAAATTTACAATGAAATCTTATTTGCTGATCAGGAGCTGGTATATGCCATTTTACAAATGCTAAATGATGTGTTATAGTACCTATTGAAAGGTTAAGTGAATATTCAAAATAGTATTGTACTTCACTAGGAAATATGTCTGTCATCTCATCACTTTATATAAATTTCACCAATATATGTGAATTCCTCATATATTGGGATGCAATTGTTGCTCCAAAGATTTCAGATCCAATCCTAATACAGTCATATTGATTAATATATTGCAAAACAATGGTTAGATATTCTGTTGATGTTTCAGAAACTGCACCTGCTATCGTTACAAACTTCCCATCATATGCATTATTATAATATTGAACTAATAATTCATAAATATTATCTGGTAAAGACACGTGTTTTTTTAGAGAAAGCATTTGTCCTGAAAATGGCTCATTACCAATAATGGTTTCATTAAAATAATGAAAGATTTGTACGAATCGGTATGATTCTGTAAAATCCAATTCATCATAAGATGCTAAACTTCCAGCTGTCAGACGAGACTTTACCAATTCAAGAGCTTATGCCAGTTTTAAACAATTCAATTGATTTTAAAATTAATTTGTCTATTCTTTGGTTTTACATAATGATGCATAGAAGTTCTAATTCAATTTGTCACTTACTGTTCAGAAGGAATTCTATAAAGAAAAATTAAATAATTATTAATTATATATTTAATTATTTAATAAATTAATAACAATCGATATAAAATCTCACCTAAAACTCCATTTATTCTTTCAAACAAATAATACCAGAATGAATACAAAGAACTATAATCACGACAGCATTCAGTAATATGAAGCGAAAGGTGTATATTTGGTATTATAAACTCTGATCCATAATTTTCTTCAACTAAAAGTACTACTTGTAACAATCAGGCATGAGCTTCAGTCAATATATTGTTGTCAATTATTCGACATACAAGTAATGAGCAAGCTCTAACAAAATTAACTAAAATTTCTCTTTACAGTAAATCCAAAAAATCCTATAATAATAGAGTCACATATACTAAAATAAAAGTCTTTTATTAATCAGCATAAAGCCAGAAAACCCTTCTCTAGTTGAAATTTTATTTGGGATCTAACCCAAATCGACGGATAGGTTGATGATTTTTGCCTGTTTTTCCAATAATATAAGATCGATTTTGTTAGATCATAACATTTTTACTATCTAATGAGCAATACTAAGAAAAAGGCAATGCATCAGATTGATGACAAGATATCGAATCAGGTTAAAATAAAGCAGCCTTAACATTTCTGACCAACATACGTGTGTATCAGAAATATGCTGCTTTCTTTCATTTTTTGTTTTGCGTTGCTGCTATCTTTCAGCATTTCTGAGATATTCTTCAAGATTTCGTTCTTGAAACTAATCATCTATGTCTTCAAACCTACCAAAATTTAGTTTTCTACCTCCTATATTTGCACGTTTGTAGCATTGATAGCAGCCAATTAATGCTGATATATGACTGCATAATTTTCTAGCAGTCAGAATATCATTTGAGCAGCAAATGACAGCTAACCTAATTCTTTTTCCATTCAAAAATTTTGTTGAGATTGGTATAACATATCCATTCCACAATTCTAATAATTCATCCACTATCAGGGAAAGGTAGTGGTTTATCCAATATAACTTTACCTCTTTGAGACCTAGTGGTAGTCCAAGTATCAATATATTTTTCTTTTTAAATCGAACTTCATGTAGAAGGTTACATATAATACCATATATGACGTCACAACTATATGCTGATGAATCGAATAGTTAGAACCAATCGAGATTTATCATAATTCCTAAATGGGAATCAGCAGTTTCCAATGTAAAAATCACAAAGAATCAGATGTATCAATTTGTGATGGAAAAGTTTTCCAAATTTCTCTATTATAAATATCAGTTACCAGTTCAGTACTATCCCGATTGGTCCATTTTTCAAAAGTGATTCAAATCCTGATCGTTGATACATTGTAATCAATTGAGCCTTCAAAGATAGCAAGGGAAAAATCATCTTTGGTTTTCTAATATAACCTTTAACTATTAATATTTGTTTTGTTATTTCTGTTTCATAAGGACTTCTCTGGCCTTTTTTCAGATAATTTGGAAATTTCACATAGGTGCATTTAAACCCATTATTTGACTGATCGTTCACATTTTTTTGCAAAATTTCTGAAATTTTATATAATGTATTGCA